TGTTAGTAAATATTTATTTATCTATAAAAAAAAAATATTTATGCAAAAAAAACTATAAGAAATAATGCTATCAATTTTCATTAAAATAAAACTGTTGCAAGATCACGGCGGTCCATAGAGTCGGTTAGTTTACGCTGTAAGACATAAATCAAATAAAATAGATATGTAAAAAAAAAAAAAACCCTGTATAGCTTAATATTACCTATGACAAGTATTAAAGATCTAGAAGAATCTCGGTCAAAAAATTTACATAGGTATTATTCCAAGCAAGTTCTTGGATATTTGCTCACGGAACTAACATAACAGTACTAAAATGAGTTACCTGTGACGTAACCACGAATGTTAATAATATATGATTAATATTAACTAATGAATTTTACAGATTACATTTTCGCATAATATATGTACGAATATAATACATTTGAGCATATTTCTAAAAAATATAACACCAGAAGATCAAGCAAACTTAATTTTTAACTCATTCGTAAACGAATATACACTATATTATACATATATATATATAAAAATATAATATACATTTTGTTTTCCTGCCTAAGCTGATGGTCTAGAGAGACAATATCAGCATCACCGGGCTAGTAGGTGAACTCACGGGGCTCAAACCTGACGTTGTTACAATATGCACATATGAAGCCAACAATTCTCGTCGAACCCGTCGCTTGCGACGAAGGGCTCTTTAACCCACAGGACACAGCACACTGAGTTTCTCGCCGGATCTTCTCAGTGGGTCGCATTTTCGATCCGGTGGTAGATTCTGCGAAGCATGGCTCTTGCTAGGGTTCGTGTTAGCAACATCGTCAGGTTTGAGCCCCGTGAGCTCACCTACTAGCTCGGTGACGCTGATATGGTCTCTCTAGACCATCAGCTTATGTAGGAAAAAAAAGGGAACACTATTTCGCGACAGTGATGTGACCGATAAACCCCTTATTGTGGCTGTCGCTATATTTGCAACTGACCAGTCTGATTCAGCAACCAGTCACTCTCAGCGGCGTAGACAGACCCTTATAGGAAGCACTCTCAATAAAGAAAAAAAGAACGAAAAGCAATTTTACCGCAACTGTCATAACATGGAGCCACTAATATTTTGATTATAAACATAAATATTTAATATAATTTTTCTACAACCCAACTCTTGCAACAGTTTTATTTTTGTACTCACGACCCATTCGAAGATAGGCGGTAACCAACGTGCCGTACGTAAAATTTTTGTTATTCCTTAATTACAGATCCTACGTCCGTATAATACTTCTTTGTTTTTGCACTCGAACAGAAACAATGAAATCAAATCTCACGGTGAGCCAAACATCCGCATTCAACTGAAACAAAAAAAAGCGAATCGTTTGCCAACAAGTTATGAAACATTTTGACAAAATTAAGATTTTTAACGCATATTTAATTCATAGTAATTGAGATGATGAGAGAAAAGAAAAAGAAATGCACCAGAATAATAACGGAATGTTACCCTAGAGAAAACAGAATTACTAGAGGAAGACAGCCAAATCGATGAGAAGACGACTTAAAGCAAGTAGCTGGGTCAGGACGGTTACGTACAGCAAAGGACAGAAGCAAATGTAATTCCTTAGAGGAGGCTTTTGTCGAAAGACAAGCTGTTAAGAGGAGAGATAAGCCGAATGCCGAAATATGTTTTAGTTTAAGTTAATTATATAGTTTTCTTACCTCTATTGTTATCAATTTATATTTAGTTAAATAAGTTAAACTATGACAGCAATAAAGGCTTATTTATTAGAATTGTGATGTATATAATCGGATATAACATATTTCTGATACTCTTTATTATTCAACGGGCTGTACTTCGAACGGATGAATACAAATGAATGATTTTAGCATAGATAATTTATTTAAAACTTTAGTTATGAGAAAATTGTATTTGTGGTTTATTCTTACTTTGCCTTTAACTTCTCATATAGCCTGATGGCTATCATAGTCACGATTAGGTCAACTAAATACGTTTTGTTGTTTATTTTATTAATAGCATATTCTGAGTCACGGTAACATGTATCTGGACGAGCATTTCATTAGGCTATCTCGTATGAGAATGTCACAAACTAATGAGATAGATATCTTTACGTTACGTAACCCTGTAAAAGTGTAATTTCTGAGGATCAAAATGAGTTGTAGACATGATAAAAAAGGTTATTTATCTTCATGCATTCAGGATTACTCCCTAATTCGAAGTTTATGTAGGTCCATAAATACCCAATTATTAAAAATAATTTAGACGGCAAATTAATTCAAGTCGAAGTCAATTATAAAAGTTACGTACTCACTAGAGATTTCCGAAGAAACACGGAACGAAGCGAATTTCAAAGCGAAGACGTGAAACTTGTAAATTCTGATTACATTTTACGGTCACTGATTTGACCAGTAAAAACATTCATTCATACTTTCGCTTCCAATATGACTGTTTAAGTCGTTTGCACGAATTTATTTTTACGTCAGCTTTGTATCTACGCAATGTGAAATCGCAACACTCCGTTTTCTTGTTAAAAGAAAGCTATATTATTATTTACAAAAAAAATGCAAGATTGTTAAATACGCTAAGCTTGCTTATTTACACAAAATGTTCTTCGTTTAAATTTAAAAAATAAAAGTCAAATAGTTTTCTATGTATTAAAGAATAAATCATTAATAATAATAACGACATTACACGTTGATATAAATATAAATAATAAATATTTACTAACAATCACGCCATGTGATGTTGATAATTTAAATTATATTTGTAAAATATACACTTGATTTTAATTTCCATTGTTTGCAACAGTCCACCTTTTTTACGATTGAATCGTGATTTCGCGGTCCTAAGTTTTTATTATGTTAGGTAGATTGAAATCAATTCGTCCATATAACATCACTTTTATCGAACGTTTATATCGAACACTGTTGAGGCAGATTATAAATCTATGTTTTGATCATATTCTTTTGCCAACTTAGTTTCATCAATATAAGGATATAAATCTCGTTATCTAACTTATCTGATTTTTATATGACTGAAGCATGCAAGAAATAAACTAAAGCAATGTTTTTAACCTTAACTACCTATTAAACTTTCTCAAAGCTAATTTCCTTGCACTTTACCTTCGGCGATGTCAGTTACATAGATCCAATATAAATCGGAGGTGGCTTTCACGTGGTACCTGTCTAGACTATACAACTTCTGAAATTACAATTTTTATTTTTCTCTTGTTAATGAGATTTGATGTCAATCATAAGCTCACAATAATAGGGGTTAAAGTATGGAATTGTCGTTTTATTGTAATAGGTCCTTCGAATTGACATATAACCTTCATGTTTTGAGATTTTTGAGTGAAACTTTTTTCAAATTGTACCTATGAGGTTTTTCATTTAAAAAATGTGCCACATTCGATTATCGACTTTCAGTTGTTTTTTTATTCAGCTTAGACAAAAAAGATGGATACTTCGAAAATTCTAGTAATTTTTGAATACGAGTTCCGACGCGGAACTAACGCTGCAGAAACAGCTCGCAATATCAATGTTGCATTTGGAGAAGGACTACTAATGAACGCACCGTGCGATTTTGGTTTAAACGCTTTCGTGATGGAAATTTTGATTTGAAAAACGAACCACGCGGAAAACCGCCCACACATGTCAATAAAATGATTTGAAAGGGATGGTGGAAGCCGATCCGAGCCAAACTACCCAGGAATTAGCGGCACGGTTTAACGTTACCTTACCAACCATATTGCCTCATTTGCGTCAAATCAATAAAATATTTTTTTTTATGAAAGATGGGTGCCTCATGATTTGACTAATGTGCAGAAAGAGACGCTTGTTGAAACTTGTGTTGCCTTGTTGAATCTATATAGAAATGAATATAAAAGCGTGACATGTAATGAAAAGTGGATTCTTTGCGATAACCGTAAGCGAAAAATGCAATGACTAAACCCAGGTTAAACGTTGTCTTAAAGAAAATCTTACCAATAAAAAGACAATGGTAACTGTTTGGTGGTCTCAGCATAGTGTTATTCCTCTTTTTGATTTTTCCTCTATCTTGGCTCTGTTCAATACTATCTACATTATTTTTAACAATTTAGACAGATAGACAAAAATAATAAAATCCTTTGAATACTCTGCCAATCAATTTATCGTTAGAATCGATTAAGCTGAATAGGCAAATGATTTTAGAAAGAAAAAGAAAATATATTTTTGGTTTAGTGTAGAGAAAATTAACATGAGTTAAAATTTCTTTATTTATTTTAAAAAAAGTACTGCCACATCACAAACATTTAACATTGAAAATAACTTAAACTATTTAATTGATGGTCTGATGCATGTGATAATAATAGCGTACATAACATGGGCAATTCATCGGCTCGAAGATGGAATACAATAATTAAAGAAAAAAGAATACCTAATGAATAATTATTTATTCGATATCATAGCTTGACATTCTAATTTTATTTATTTATATGATGTAAGTAGAAAGTTGAAAGTAGATCGTTTTAATCTAGTATAGTATGAATGGCTTTAATGTGCGCTAAGTTGTATACTATCTCCTATGAACAGGGTCTAGAAGCAGTCCGCTCATCCAATATAATCGTATCTCGATATAAAAACAATTTTACTTGCTAAGCTAAGAACGATTACTTGCCCTTTGATTACCTTATTAGGTTTAGGTTTAATTAATTCTTCTACTATTGCTATTTAATAAAATACTATGAACTTTTAAATATAATTTCGAAATCCGTACCAGCCACCATCTGTGTAGTTCCCATGAGCGGTTTTCGTAACTACTTCATTTATGCCGAATCTCGACAATGCTTTTGCGTATCGTTAAAATATACGAATGAGTTAAGCTCGCTTTTGTTCATGAAATTTATAAATGTATCAAATTTCGTCCCTATGTTTTTGTGAACGGCTTAAGCGCTAAAAATAAATAAAACAATTGTTCATTGTGTTATATAGTATATCGTGTTTAATCAAAAACTTTATAATTTTAGGACGAGACGGGCCGATTAATGAGAAGAAATATTGTAAGATACGCCATCCTCGCCTACGTCATCACGCTACAGAGGGTGTCTCTTAGGGTAAAAAGAAGATTTCCAACATGGCAACACGTAGTTGACTCCGGTAGGTACATACCAATCCAATAGTCACTTGTTTTTTTGTTATTTAATTCTCTCAAACTATCAAAAGGTGATTAGTATCAAACCGCTTGGTTTCGGCATATTGACAAAGAAAGTAAATTTGAAAAATTATGTATATGTCTTATCTCTTAAAGGTCTTATGTTGGAAAGCGAGAGAAAAGTTTTTGAAAAGATGGACGGCAAGAGTCCTATGTCCAAGTATTGGATGCCGTTAGTATGGGCGACGAATATAATAAACAGAGCCAGGAAAGAAGGCCTAATAACCAGTGACCACATAGTGCAAACGTTGTTGGTGGAGCTATCTGACATAAGACGAAGATTGGGGGCGCTCATTGGTTATGACACCGTTTGCGTACCACTCGTTTATACGCAGGTTTGTATATGTCATTATCTATATATTAATAAGCGAAGGAAAAACTTTGTATCCCTTTTTACGAAACTTGCGCGGACGGAGGAGTATGAAATTTCCCACACTTATAGAGAATATAGAGAAGGAGTGCAGAATGTTAATATTTTTTAAAATTATGCCTAAAAATAAAAAAAAATCATTACACAGACTACCATGTATTTGACGCACACACGCATGCGTACTATTTATTTATTGTGAAACTTTTGTTCTTGACGTCTGTGGTCAAATGGAGAATAGATTAAATATTGTTTGTCTTTATTAATATTTTTCTATAGTGTATTCTTGTCGAAATTTGTGATTATAGTCTGAAAATAGAATCATAATAGTGTACAAACTTACAATTTCAATTAATTATTATAGTCGAATTTCGACTACTGCGGGACCACTAGTATTAATAAATTTTTGTTTTCGTGTATTTAACTAGAGTATTGCAGTGCTTGTCCCAATATAAGTAATGGCCTTTTTGAACTCCAATCACAACCCCGTTACTTTTTCACCGAAACGCCCGATCCTGAAGCAAAGGTGTTGATAAGCTAATGACACCGCCTTGCTGGACGCCACATAGAGAGTACATCCATCGATTCTCTCAGTAGACGGGTGATCTAGAGCTTGATGGAGTCATGGCGGGTCGTGAAATCCGGCCTTATATGTCCAGTTCCACTTTTTCATAATCAAAACACACAAAAAGACAATGTCATGGGCTCGGGGTTGTGTCATGGGCTTTTTCGTTCAAACCCATCCCTTAATGTCTGAAACAGTTACCGAGATTTCTGGCAGGCAATTTTCTATCCGCCCGCCTCTGCTTGGAGGAATAACACAGAGAGTATTCGGTAATCTAAATCTTTTTTTTTTCATAAGAAGATGTGTAAATCCGGGATGGATGGACGAAAATTTAATCCACCTTAATTAATAGTTCTAATACCGGTTAAATTTCTCCACGCCTCTAGAATCTAGAGACGAATCTAGAGACGTGTTTAGAATATAATCTTTAAATGCCATTTTGTAGGAGAAAAGAGTTTATATTTAAAAAATATATCTAATGAAATTATGAAATAAAATGTTAATACAATCGTTATTGTGTTAAGTTCACATCCACTTTGATTCATTTGAATGGACATTAGACGTCTAGTCGTTCAGAATTATCTCGCATAATTGAGTCACTTAAGTGGTATAGTATAAAGTCTAAATAGCGACAAAACAAGAAAACTTGACGGTCGCCACAACCTAGCAGCCGTGTGAGCTAATTCGTTCCGATGATAAAACACAGAATAACAATGAAAACGAAACATGCGGGCGAGGTTTTGTGGCTCGTGTACGTGATACATGACGTACTCGCGTGTTATTGTTTTTTTTTTTTTTTTTTGTAATATTGTACCCAGTAATCTGTTAATTCGTTTCGATTCTTATTTTAGAACAATGCGCTCCAACAAACAGACAGGTTTGCTTGTTTTTTATAAAACTTTTATTTAAACGTGAGCACGGAAACGTGAATTATTCCTTGTGTTAGATGAACCTCTCCAATTTCCTAAATAATCTTCTTGTAAAAATTGACTTTAATTTTTTTTTTTTTTTATTGCTTAGATGAGTGGACGAGCTCACAGCCCACCTGGTGTTAAGTGGTTACTGGAGCCCATAGACATCTACAACATAAATGCGCCACCCATCTTGAGATATAAGTTCTAAGGGTCTCAATTATAGTTACAACGGCTGCCCCACCCTTCAAACCGAAACGCATCACTGCTTCACGGCAGAAATAGGTAGGGTGGTAGTACCTACCCGTGCGGACTCACAAGAGGTCCTACCACCAGTAACTGGAAGATAAGTTCGCCCAGCGTACCTACTTTAAGTTTAAAGTTGAATTTTTCACTATTAACTTTTTCTGTATATTGTCGTCGATGTACCTAAGTGCAATTAAGTATTTTGTGTTAAATTAAAAATTATGCAATACTGAAAAAGATTATTTATTTCAGATTTTGCATCTATATTATATTCATTAACAATAACATTTCACAAAGAATACAAAAAATATAAATCGTGTAATAAAAATGAAACCCGCAAAATTATAATTCGCGTAATTACTGGTGGTAGGACCTCTTGTGAGTCCGCGCGGGTGGGTACCACCGCCCTGCCTATTTCTGCCGTGAAGCAGTAATGCGTTTCGGTTTGAAGGGTGGGGCAGCCGTTGTAACTATACTGAGACCTTAGAACTTATATCTCAAGGTGGGTGGCGCATTTACGTTGTGGATATCTATGGGCTCCAGTAACCACTTAACACCAGGTGGGCTGTGAGCTCGTCCACCCACATAAGCAATGAAAAAAAAACAATAACAACAATTTCGGAATAAAATAAAAATAATAATAAAAATAAAAATGAATGTAAAAACTACCTTAACCTTAAGGCTGGTTTGGATCTAGATTGCTTAACATGCACACGTGTCGAGTGTTCCAGATCCATTGCGAACAGCCGCAGGTAGCTATTCCAACTGACCCGCACGCGGCGTATCGCAACCCTCAGACACAGCCCACTGAGTTTCTCGCCGGATCTTCTCAGTGGGTCGCGTCTCCGATCCGGTGGTAGATTCTGCGAAGCACGGCTCTTGCTAGGGCTCGTGTTAGCAACGTCGTCAGGTTTGAGCCCCGTGAGCTCACCTACTAGTTAAGGTTACGCTGAAATAGCCTCTCAAGGCTCTCTCTCAGCTTAGGTAGGAAAAAAAAGGCGTATCGGGGAAGCGAAACGTTTACGATTCATAGCTGCGATGCTATCTATGAACGTCCTTGTTTTTTGTCCTTTTCAGGTGGTAACTTTGTCCCTGTACACTTATTTCGTTGCGGCATTGATGGGCCGTCAACTGGTCCCTCCGGCGCCCGGAAGTACCTCCAAGTACGAACCTGACGTATACTTTCCGCTCTTCACAGCTTTACAGGTAATTCTACTAACAAAAAATGCCCCAGGCATCCGATTTGATAAACGTCACATAACATCTGATTTTTTCGTTTATATTACGAGTATTGTAATACTGTATTGTATACTGTAATAATTTGTATTGTAATAATACTGAGATATTACTGTAAGGAAGATTTTTGTTTTGATTTTGTTCTTTTTTTGTTTTTTGTTGTTGTTTGTTATTCTTTTGTTAATGCACCTACCATGCATTATCTCTGCACCACCCTATGGTCGACTGGAAGAGAATGCCCATGGCATTAAGTCCGCCTGTGTACTTTTGTTTTGTGCATAAAGTATAAATAAATAAATATTGTACTAAAGTAATAGCCTTGGGGTATTGGCCTTTCGTGGTTATTGTAAAAAAATAACAAACAATTTTCTGAATTTGCAACGTATCCGGAACGTATTGTAAGCGATTATTAAGACCGGTATATTGTAAGTTCTGTTCTATATAGATTTTCTATCGTCCTTGTTAATCTTGAATGTTTATTGAATTCCGAGCACGTGGCACTGCACAATCCGGGACTAAGTACACTTGTACCCGTCCTCGTCCACGTGAATTCGCTTGCTCTAGTTTATATTGTGAATATAAATATTGTTTAGATTTTATAAGTGACAGGCAATACTGGAAAACCTGTTAATCAGAGGAAAACGGCTGGATCGACCCCGGCTGATTAGAGCAATCTTTTTTTGTCTTAGAAACAGTCGAGTGTACATCCCATAAGTAAACGGTCATAATCGTTAATGTAGATCAACAATACCGGGATATGTCCAGGTTGCTGCCTAGTGCGAAGCGCGCTCTTCAATTCTCATATCTCATGTGAAAAAGGTCATGTCATAGCTCTCGGCTCGCTGGCAACCTCTGGCTGAATAGTACGAACAAAAATTATGTTTGGAATCGCAGTGTGCATGACCGCAGCGGTTCCAGTTACTAGGGATTAACTTTTCTCTGGTGACACGCTGTGCGATGGTAAAAGGAGACGGCGAAATCATCTCAAACATTCAAATCACTTCAGAGCCTTCAACAAAACAAAATAACAACGAAAATCGAAATTCCTTTATAGACCCAGAGATTCCAAATAGTCTGTGAGATCGGGCTCATGCGTGCAATAATGTTTCTCTTAGTTCAAGACACCTAACATTTTAGAAGCTAACTTGGCTTTACCGTTCGTTTGAAATTCAGTTACAACTAATAAATCAAAGTACTAACTTCGGCTACTGCTACTGCTCCCTATTTTCTGTCCGGCGTAGCTCACCTAAATTTCTATCTAACTTGTTTATTCTTAGCCCTCTAGATCCTCTGATCCTCCGGGAGCCTCTGCTTCCAAACTTTTTGTAGAGCATTTCATGCCTTTTCTTCATTTTATTTGTAATTTTATTACAACAGTCGTATAGTACCTATTAATAACACGAAGCACCTGGGTCTGATAAATAAGATACCGGACACTTCTTTGAATATGGTGTGATTTAATCACAGGTTCGGTATGATTTTTAATTGTGTTAGTTGTGAGCACGCAAGAGTCGCCGGCATCGTCTGGCTTTATTTTTTCACTTCTTAAGATTATATTAATATAAATATTATACCCATTATTCCAATGATGTTGAGATCTTGACCTGGCATCTCAATAAATTTTGTAGTATTTATTGGTGGCAATCAGTGTACCTAAATATTCTGTAGACCGCATTAAAAATGACTTCATAAATTATTTCCTTTCAGTTCTGCTTTTACGTGGGATGGTTGAAAGTAGCTGAAGTTTTAATTAATCCTTTCGGAGAAGATGACGATGACATCGAACTAAATTGGCTTATTGACAGGCACATAAAGGTTTGTGTAATTTTTTTATTTATTTCTTAGATGTGTGGACGAGCTCACAGCCCGCATCTACAACGGAAATGCAACGTAAATGCACCACACACCTTGAGATATAAGTTCTAAGGTCTCAGTATAGTTACAACGGCTGCCCCACCCTTCAAACCGAAACGCATTGCTGCTTCACGGCAGAAATAGGCGGGGCGGTGGTACCTACCCGTGCGGACTCACAAGAGGTCATAGAAATATCTTTGTAAAGTAAATACAGTATGACAAACTCAGACCTAATATTAATGGAATTTCTCTTCGTCTCTTAAATTTTCTACGTGGCATATGATATTGGAACCCGAATTCGAACATACGTTAAATACCCTTGGGACTTCAAATCGTGTCTGAACACTTGGGATACAAGTTTTGGTTGCCGCGCACAACACTACAGATATGATTAGAATTAGACGGTTAGGTAGTGTTACCGGGCTCATCTAAGTCAATGAAAAATAATACAAATGACAGACTTTTTAAATTGTATAGCGCACTCATGAATCACAAACGTTTTGTAGAAAAGCAAATGTAATGAAACCAGACTATCATATCGAATAAATGTGAAATACAATTTTGTTTGTGCTGAGAATGTAATAAGATAAAATTTTAAAATCATTAATGACTAACTTTTGTTCCTCCACACACAATTTAGTTACAATTAATTTAATTTATTTTTATTGCTTTGATGGGTGGACGAGCTCACAGCCTACCTGGTGTTAAGTGGTTACTGGAGCCCATAGACATCTACAACGTAAATGCGCCACCCACCTTGAGATATAACTTCTAAGATCTCAGTATAGTTACAACGGCTGCCCCACCCTTCAAACCGAAACGCATTACTGCTTCATGGCTGGTGGTACCTACCCGTGCGGACTCACAAAAGGTCCTACCGCCAGTAAGAACCTACCACCAGTAATAACTAAAACTAACTAAACTAAAACTTAAATTGAATTTTGCAGGCAGCCTATATGATAGTTGACGAGATGCACGAAGAGCATCCTGAACTGCTGAAAGATCAATACTGGGAAGAGGTGGTCCCCAAAGATTTACCGTACACCGTAGCCTCAGAACATTACCGTCGCCATGAGCCCCCTTGCTCAGCTGACCACTACAAAGTAAAAGCAGAGGACGCTGTCTATGCTAACGTTCAAGCACCCAGAAAGAGTCACGATGAAACTTACGCTGATTACGTAAGTTTTGCTCATAATTAATGATTAAACTAGCGACCCGCCCTCGCTTCGCTTCGGAAACATTAAATTTTATTATTGATAGGCGAAGCCCGCCATGTTGCGCGCGGTAAGACAATAACTGCGGATGACGCCGCGGGGCGAAGCTAGTCTAAAAAAAAGTAGCCTAAGTAACTCATATCATCATTATTAGTGAAAGTCTCATCAAAATCGGTCCAGCCGTTCCAGAGATTAACCGGAACAAACAGACAGACAGACAAAAATTATCAAAAATGTTATTTTGGTGTATGTACCGTATATAGATCCATATGCATGTAGTAAAAAGCGGTTATTTCAATACTACAAACAGACACTCTAATTTTATTTATATGTATAGATAGCACGTGAGTTCTTGATGTGAATTCGATGTACTTACTAAATCAAAGACTTTGGTAAATTCTTACCGTAGTAAAATTTTCAGCAGCTTTATTTATTATTACCTAAGGCACTATGCATTAACCGTATTTGCCGAATCGAATTTTCAGAAATGTAGTATACACATTAAAAATTGACGTATACACCTGTACCGCAACTCGAAATAATCGCACTTATAAAACCTTACGGGGCATCATATTATGATCCATACATCCATTTCTTGTTACAATAAAAATATAAGATGTGATAAATAAATGATTGGTCTAGACACGTCTTAAAATGTCTTGATAGTAAATGTCGACATACTAATGATTTTTACTAACAAAAAATGATACTTTTCTTCAAATAGAATCTAAAAAGTCAAGGTACGGTGTAAACCACGAGTAATTTAGACAGCTTTTATTCAATACTAGCTGAGTCCCGCGATGTTACTCGCGGTTATAGTCGTACCGCGGGTGACGCCGCGGGGCGAAGCTAGTCTAAAAAAAGTAACCTAAGTTACTCCTTATATCATCAGCTACCTATCAGTGAAAGTCTCGTTAAAATCGGTCCAGTCGTTCCAGAGATTAGCCGGAACAAACAGACAGACAGACAAAAATTGTAAAAATGTTATTTTTGTGTATGTAACGGTCGTCTGGTATAACAGTCGTAAGTGACATGGTCACTATACACGGGCGTCGCGGGTTCGAATTCCGCCAAGGGAAGATATTTGTAAGATAAATATAAATGTCTTTTCCAGGGTTATGGATGTATATTAAATATATGTATGTGTATAATAAAAATCTTACATTTATGTAAATATTTATTTATTTATTTATTTATGCACCGTATATATATTCATATGCATGTAGTAAAAAGCGGCAATTTCAATTCACACCAATTTTATTTATATTATTTAAAATAAGGCTAGTGAATAATGTATGATGTATCAGATGAATGAATTCGTTAAAATATTTCAGGAAAGTGTGGACACTCCCTTAGTTGAAAGGCGAAAAAATTGGTTCCAGCGACAAATATCGAGGATGGGCTCGGTACGGTCCGCTTCAACGGCGTATTCATCGGGAGGCCTCTTCGGACGAAATCGACACAATTCTGTTGTCTATTCGAGTCCCGAAGCGGGCCAGCCCGTGGCGCCACCTCCCCCGCACCACAAGATGTCTTTATATGAGCGACTTGTTGGTCGCAAATCGGGCAGAGGGCAGCATCGACAAAATTCAAGACACGGTACTTATTCACTTGATATTTGAAATTTGATATTTGAATTTCACTTGATTTTGAAGTCGTCGTGGTCTAAAAGATAAGACGTTCGGTGCATTCGTATCTAGTGATGCAACGGTGTTCAAATCCCGCTGGCGGGTACCAGTTTTTCTAATGAAATACGTACTCAACAAAAGTTCACTATTGACTTCCACGGTGAAGGAATAGTGTAATAAAAATCAAACCCGCAAAATTATAATTTGCGTAATTACTGGTGGTAGGACCTCTTGTGAGTCCGCACGGTTAGGTACCACCACCCTGCCTATTTCTAGCGTGAAGCAGTAATGCGTTTCGGTTTGAAGGGTGGGGCAGCCATCGTAACTCTACTGAGACCTTAGAACTTATATCTCAAGGTGGGTGGCGCATTTACGTCGTAGATGTCTATGGGCTCCAGTAACACTAACTTAACACCAGGTGGGCTGTGAGCTCCTCCACCCATCAAAGCAATAAAAAAAATATATATGAACATTATTTACGTTTTAAGTCAATTTACTAAAACAGATTAGTAATCTAGTAAAAAAACGAATGCTTTATGTGAACTGATTGCAAAATCAACAGATTATCCTATTTCCTATAATTTATTGTTCTTTAACACGTTTAACCTTACTCCTACTAATTATTTTTATATAATTTGAATTAAACGCTTACTCCAGAAAGAATTTTCCTTAAAGAAAAACAACAGAAATGTCTGTTTTAGAAAAGTTATAACAATTCTCTTTTAATGCGATCAATTGATAATAATATTGTTTTTCAAAGCAAAACTGTTATTGTTTTAAAAGTCTTAAGATAGTTAATTTTATCACAATTCGTTGTTGCAGGTGGCCAAAAAAGTAATGGATCCGCCGTTCCTATTACCCTGCGGAACAGACCTCGTATACCCACACCGGACGTGACGAAAGAGGTCATGGACCGTGAAAATCGCATCGCAATGGGTATGCAGAACATGGGTGTAATAATGGCTCACCAAGGCTATCAAAATGAAGTTCCCGTATTAGGTGCACTGGTCTTATCGCCTATACAGGAATTGGATAGTGGTTCCGTGAACAACACATTACACGCAGGGCAGCCTGGCACCACGGCTCTGGCGCAGGCAGTGTTGGCACCCGGTGGACTAACACCAATGCTCACTACTGCACCTGTTAACTTAACACCGATGGGTGTGTCCCAGCTCACAACTATAGTGAGCTCAGCGCCATCGACGCCACGAGCTGAGCGTGGCCCAGCAGATGGCTCCGGTGGTTCACCGCAATCTCCAAGAGCGACCATTACAGAGCTCCCTCCATCGGATCGTGAAAGTAATCATAGCGGCACACCTCCAGATTTCGCGAGGAAACCAGGTTCTAAAAGAGGAGAGGTCTATGTATAGAGGAAACACGAAGCGCCCCGAAAACTGTCTCGTACTTGTAAGTGGTGCTGAAAGTATTGTGTGATTTCAAGAATTTTGTACAGAGCAACGCGACTGACACAATTGAAGGAACTTCATTCGAACCAAGCGAAGAGCTCGTATCAGATGTTGAATGAATGAAAATTATATTGAATTTAATAAATTAATAATTTTAAAATTATGCACAAACAGGGATTGATTGTATAGCTTTCTATAAAGATTTTTTAGTTAATTTAGCTGGTTTTTTTTTCCTGCGCATTTTATCCTCACAATAGATTTGGTGATAATCGTTGACAGCTTTGCTCGCCTTTCGGCATCCGATTTTGGTTGGAGATTACAACTAATTCGCATAAGGAATATGAATTAAGTTGCAATGATCACTCGATCAAAAGCAAATATTGATTATATTATTCATAGTTTTTTTTATACACCAAATCTCACACTTGAGCTCAACACTCAAACACGAAGTTGCTTTTCAGACTGTCATAGCTTGGAGTTAGAACCCAGTGGTCATCAGAATGCCTAGTCTACATATGGGATATTTAATAAGTAATTCGTCATAAGGGTGATGTGGTTAATACTATACATGACATTCAACTGTACGTAGGTACCTTCAACGAAGCAAAACGATCACAATCAACCTGCCGATTTTCCTAAAAATTAAACAAAAAACATACAGAATTCAGTTCTCGAACCAGGTACGGGAAATCGGATTTCAATTATTCCACTAGTTTTTGCAATCAGTTATTCAAACAAAGGGCTAAACTAAGCGAGTTATTCTGTTCTTGTTACTTTTAAACAGTTGATACTCACGTGAGTGGCAAAAATTGCTTTGTATAGTCGTTTTTCGATAGTTTTACCTATTAAAAAAACGATAAAGTTGATGTTTAGTTGATAATTAGAAATCAACCTCTCTAAATTCACATTTGTTAGTTGGTTGATCTTTGTTCGCGTTCTTTGTGGTCGTAGTTCATTTCTTGTATTCTTGTTTGTACTTCATAGAAGGTTTCTGACATAAAACTGATATAAATAAGAAATTAATAGATATGGTACTCATTATAATTTAGTGTCAACTAAGTGTATTCTTTTTACTAAATATTCTTATTATTAAATGAATACTAATAAAGCTTTCCCAAAGCGAAGACAGGTAACGGTGATTCCATGATATCCAGAAACGGTATTACTTATTTTAGACCGTAATTTAATTACTTTACAGTGAATGTAATGTAACATAATAGGATCCAATAGCCTACAAAACACCTTTTTTCATATTTTTTTTAAGCTTAGGTGGGTGGACGAGCTCACAGCCCACCTGGTGTTAAGTGGTTACTGGAGCCCATAGACATCTACAACGAAAATGCGCCACCCACCTTGAGATATAAGTTCTAAGGTCTTAGTATAGTTACCAACGGCTGCTCCACCCTTCAAGCCGAAACGCATTACTGCTTCACGGCAGAAATAGGCGGGGTGGTGGTACCTACCCGTGCGGACTCACAAGAGGTCCTACCACCAGTGTAGCCTTTGCCTTGAATAATTAACTCCTATAAACTCCTCCTTCCAATGGTAGATCATATTGCTAACTAATACGGCCGCACCAATATCGTGCCTATTTCTGCTTTAAAACAAAAATACATTTTGATATGAAGGATCGGATAACTGTTGCTAATACAATTGAGATTTCGATTTCATTCTCGCTGTAGTATCTGTAAGCCTCCGAATCGTATCAGATGAATCAAATCGAATTGTAGCCGTATACTGAGACCTTAGAACTTATATCTCAAAGTGAGTGGCGCATTTACGTTGTAGATGTCTATGGGCTCCAGTAACCACTTAACACCAGGTGGGCTGTGAGCTCGTCCACCCATCTAAAGTATAAAAAAAATGAACCGCTAGATATATACATTCTATAAACCCATCTCAGTTAATAAGAAATTATAATCCATTTTTTCCGTGAATTTGGTTTCTAACATTTATTTAAAAATACAGTATATTTATTATGTTGTATTATTTGATATGATATACTAATTATTCCGTACCTAATTATTTACTAGATAGTAAACAAAATCTAGACGGCAACGGAAAAATATCAATTATACTTTTGAAAAAGAAATGCCTGAAACACAGGAGCCTAAATTCACTCGAGGCGAAAAATGTATTTTCATTCATTTAATAGTATCATTTTTCTTTATAATAATATTAATAATCATTTATTTTGTACATATATGCGTAGTGCAACACAGGCCCAACGAGTTATTCTGGATAACGCGCAGAACTAATAAAGGCAAGTTTTAATTCCATTCGATCCTTGCGGATTAATTATCCGTCATCCAAGATACACATTAAAGGAAGCGTCATACGTATTTATCTAGGAATTACGCAAAATCGTGATCAATATTTATATGGGTACTAAAAACAAAAAAAAAATGTGTCGAGTGTCTAGTGTGAATATTTAGGTGATATGTCGTTTTTATTTTAAAGTATGTAAATGTATTTATTTCTTCTTCTTAGTCGCATATTTCATTGCTGAAGGTCGTGTCCCTGAAAGCCCTTCGTGGCTCTCTGTACCATCGGCTTCCATTTCCTTCGGTTTTCGGCTTCTCTCAGGGCGGTCGTAACAAAGAGTTCAGTGAGCGCAGTTATCTGGTCTGACCAACGGTTTGGTGGCCGGCCAGCGGGTTTTTTCCCTTCTACCTTGCCCACCACAGTCAATTCCACCTATTCTATTCCGAACTAGTGAAAATGAGTTACCCTTTCGGTGTGACTTCATGAAACTATTCGCGCACCACCTATTGCACTATGATGACATTATGGCATAAACTTTCCTTAGAATGCAAACAACAATTCTACTAAGTTAAACCGATAAACAGTTTACGAATGTATATAGGTCAATCATACAAACATCAAGTTTCATCCATATGTACATTAGTGATGAAGGAATAAAATTTCGAATTCATTTGACCTGCCACAACGTCAATGCACATAAATATTGTTTAGCTGTGACTGTGACAATGTCTTTCGAATAAAATATTGCATTTTCCCCTCTTTTTATTATATATTTACATAGATAAATAGTCCCCCACCTTATCAAAATTGCAGTAATGTTTTGTTTTGTGAAAACAAGGTCATAAACCTTCAAAAATACTTTTACCAAAATATGTTGATAGAAATTTTATAATAGACTAGCTGACCCGGCAAACGTTGTCTTGCCATATATAAGATTTCTAGAGAATTTCTAGTGTAGAAATTTTTTTACTAACTTATTGGAAGTGTATAAGGATGTGGAATATGAGTGAAAAAGGCCTGGAGCGCTGTGGACGATGAGGGAATGTTGTTTAAAAATAACAAAACACCAAACATTAATTGTTTTAATTTATTAAAAGTAATAATTATACCTATATATAATTAATTCATAACATAATATTAATCTTTTAATGCTGCAGCGTGAACAATATTTTTTGTTAGCCCGCTTAAATTGAATTGGCACATCTGTGGGTATAATAGGTATTCGTGGTATCAATATATTTTCACCTCGAAACTTGCCATTTAAAATGGTGCCTTCGATAACTTTTTTCATTATTTTTTTAATGACTAATCGCGTACCGTTGCATAGCCGTGGCGGGTTCAAATTACGAAGCAAAATAATTGGAGATCCAACCTTCAATTGTAAGTTATGTGGTGGCATGCCTGGCAAATCCAGTGAGTTCAAAAACTCTGTTGGAAAATTTACAGCTTCAGTGCCATCGCAAACTGTATCAATAGATTTATATGATACCAAGTCCCCTGGCAATAACTGTTGTATCTTCAGATTTAAAATGTCAACGTCCACATTTTTTGCAGCTAACATTGCTCTTTCTGCAAGCCACTCGAGATTTATGTAATTCGTGTGTACATCGGGAAATATTTGTTCAATGAGAGCATCTTGCGAATCAATGATAGTGCAGAAATCATTCGCTAATTTTATGTATCCAGTTTCAGCTATAGTGACTTTTCCATCGCCGATATCTAAGAGTTGTTTTGAGAATGTTTCAGCGGATGGATCTTGAAGCATTTGAACGCGCATATTTACTTTCAGCTGTTCTATTAAACATTACGCCACAATGTCGATGATTTTAAGCAGGCGTTGATTTCATCAGCGTATGTTGAACTTGGAATGACAGGAAGTGTTTGTCTGAAGTCACCTGAAAGGACTAACAGAGTGCCAGTTTGTCGTTGTTTTTAATATCTTTCAATGTCCTGTTCAACGTCTCAAGCGAATGTTTGTGTGCCATGGTACATTCATATTTTCCACTCTAAACACCGCCATGTCACTGCCTTTATGGACATAATTACAAATGTATTTGATGCTCTTCACAGAACTGCAGAACTCAACATTAATATGAGCATTGTATGTTTTGCTCAGCAGGGGCGAATATGGCACGACCCAACGATTGTCAATACCAATGTCTGTGTTGCTGATGTTTTTAATAAATTATTGTCCGCCATTATCTGGATTCCTTCGACGATATATTGGATATCCGTCGACATTTGTAATTGTATCGTTAGTGAAATCTTTAGGGAATTTTTTTGTATATTTTCCATCTGACATGCAAGGCGATGAACTAAAAATGTTTAACTACTACGCTTGAAGCATAAACACTAAAAATAGCCGAAAACTGTAGAGGTAACATCCCTACTCCGTGCTGTTTACTGGGTTAGAAGTGACACCTGTAGACATCTGGCGGGGATAACTAATTAAATGACGATTGATCAGTTTTCGACCGGAGAGGAAAAATGATTAAATTACTAAAATGGCTATTAAAAAATAAGGGTTGATCGTAGAAGGGTGAAAATTGAGGATTGTATGTATTTTTGTATGTTGTATCATAAAAAAATAGAAATTAAAAATTTTGACAAAAAAATAAAAATAAAAATTTAGGGGTGGACTACTCCTAACATTTAGGGGGATGAAAAATAGATGTTGGCCGATTCTCATAGATACCAGATAAGCACAAAAAATTTCATCAAAATCGGTCAAGCCGTTTCGGAGGAGTATGGCAACGAAAACTGTGACACGAGAATTTTATATATTAGATATATTAAATGGATATGGATATGGATAGGTATATTTATTAGATCTCACGTTAATGATATTCTTCTTAAAATTTTGACGTTTCATAGACTACTTAACTTATACATAAAGGAAAAATATTTTACCTACTGTTCTTAAATTCAAGTGACAACTAACTA